TTGGGTGCGGGAGGCTGCCAGTTATCGCAGAACTTGCTGAACGGCGAGGCCCCGCTCAGCCAACGCTGCTTCTCGGGCGACCAGCGGTCCAGCTCGGTGACGGGCGGTGTGTTCTCTCCTTCTAACCTGCAGTCGTGTGGATGAAGTCTGTAGAGGGTCGTGGTGCCGTCCGCGGCGGTCAGGCCGAGGATGGTCTGAGCGTTACAGTCCCTCCATTGCGTTAGGCAACCAAGAAAAGTTTTGTTTGCAACTGCTTCTTGAGCGGCCGTCGTGACTTTGCTCCAAAACAGAGCGCGATGGAGCCTGGCCATCAAGTTCGTCGTGCTTGTGAGCGAGGTCAGGGCCTCGGGTCCGTCGGCGACGACCACGAGGACGTGGTGTCTCACCTGTACCTGCACAATCAGGCTGTTGGACTCCTCGTAGTACGACTGCTCCGTGAGCACCACCCGGGGGGTCTCCCCTGGCAGGTCGCGCAGGAGGGCGTTGGTCCACCACACCTGACCGAGCACCACGACTCCAGCCTTTTGGTGCCGGAGGAACGGGTACATCAACGCCGTGGCGCTTGTGGCCTCGGGGGCAGCAGACACGTCCACGACGGGCAAGGTGGACAGGGCCCCGTGCCCGCCGGCGCAGAGGAGCACCAGGACGAGGACGACGTCCATGGTGTTCGCTGGGGAGGCACGTACGAACTGCGCCCCGCACTGAGCCCTTGAGTCGGGATAGGGACGCCAAGCCGTTTCCATACGTGTTTACCACTTCGATCGACTCCAACACAATATAATTGCCCTAGGAAGATTTGATCTCACCCATTGTCAAGTTAGTGGCAACGGGTGACATTTTTCGCACAAAAGAGCGGTCTCTGCTACGACGCCACTTCAAAGGCCGCCTCGCTGCGACCGACTACGCCGCCAGGGCGCTCGCTCGTCTATTTTTCTATGTTTTGGTCTATGTAGTCGGGAAGGTACAAAAAACACGAACAAACCGGTCACAGTATTCGAATTAGCGTTACCCACCAAACAGTAGAGTGGTGGGGAGTTGTTAGACACGTTCATTTTTCTAAAAGTGTTCGGAATTGAGCGGGCTGGTTCCTAAAGTGTTCTACTTCCAAAATGATAAACAAAAATTTTTTTTTCAGATTTTTTGGACCAGGGGAAAAGGTCCCCCTGGGCCGTCAAATTTAACATGGGGCTCTTATGAAAGAAAAGCCCAAAAAGTGCAATTTGCCATCATCGGCTTGAGGGGTGCTATCGACGCGATTTTGCTAAAAACTCAAACAATCTAAAAACGTTTATCTGCTAGGCCAGAAATCAGACAAGCGTGTATAGCGGGCGGTCTAACTGACTTCACCACCATTTCGTGGATACCGGGTATTTTAAACTCTTTCAAGTGATTGCGTTGGTGCTACCCAGCGATGTGTAGTCCAGCCAGCATGCCCCCTGCTCCCTTGACTTGACTAACCACGAGGCCTCTGTTGTCCCAAGGTTCATGTTCCGACCGGAGCCGTTCATATAGCGAGGCCCTTCCACCGGGGCACGATGCCGAGCATACATGCTGATCCCGGTTTCCGGTTGCAAACGCGGCATCCTCAAAGATGGCAGCTAAGTGGGTTCCCGAGCCCTTCGCATGGAGCGAAACTTCACTGCAGCACTGTGAATGAGACGGTGCGCAGAAACACCTCCAACAATTCCACTGAACTCATTATTTAAGTGTACTTTAAAGGCTTGCGCACTTCCAGCTGTGCAAATTTCTATTTTGCACATTAGAGATGGTCTTTAACAATGGAGCACACCTTTCTACGTTCAAAGGCTAGACGTTTCCGAGGTATGTAATATTTTAGGCTGACTCAGCAGGCTGAACATTAAGCACCAGCAGCTCTAGAACAAAGACAACTGCACCGTACACGCACTCAGCTGCCCGAGGAGGCAGACGGCAGCACCATGCTCGCCCTGGGCCAGTACGAGCTGCGCCAGGGCAACACCGACATCGCCTTAGTCAACAAGGTCAACGACATCCGCGAGAAGAGAACAATATAACAATCTCTGCGAACGCTGCCCGTGTTTTTTCGTTGTTTCGTTTCGTTGTAACCTCTTTTTAACCCCGCACTGCGCCACCAACACAGCAGGTCGTGTCATGAGTGCATGTGACGACCTAACCCAAACGTAACCTTTACCTTACCTAACCTCAACTTACCTTACACCTCCTTACCTCATCCGACCTTTCCTTTTACCTTACCGCACATCGGGGGTCGTCCATAGAGCATGTCCGTCTTTCTAAGAATTATTACGGGTAAATTGCGGGAGTTCAGCGCCTGTGAGATTTGGGTTAGGCCAGCCCGCAGTGCAGGCATGCTCTGCATGCTTGGTGTTGCCTACCTACCAGGCGTCATGAGAGCGTGCAGACACTTGGCAGGCTCGTACCGGCGAATGACGGACGTACTTTCTGGATGATCCCTTACCTTTATAATTAACTTTTATCTGTTTTTCTTACCTTACCTTACCTTACAGGCGCTGCAGCTCTGCCCGGAGGACAAGACGGCCCTGGTGGCGCGCAGCAAGTGCTACCTGCTGCTGGGACAGCCGCGACTCGCGCTTCAGGACGCGGAGAACGCCCTGGGCCCGGACCGCAGCAACGTGCGAGGTGGGTCTGACCCCGTTGGTCGGCGCCCACCATACCATCTTGATATTCAGGGCCATGTCCCATTACCGACGTTGACTTAATTGAGCCGACGTTGACTTAATTGAGCCATCGATAAAGAAAATGATATTCGGCTTCCATTTTGTAACGATCGATATTGCGATGTAATGTCGATATCTTACGATATTATTGATGTTCGATGTATCGAACCGGTGTTCAATACTGGATAAAGTTTACCCTGCTTCTGCCTGATGCCGTGCCTCTCCCGCAGCCATCTTCCAGAAGGCCGAGGCGCTGTACCACATGGGCGACTTCGAGCACAGCCTCATGTACTACCACCGTGGGCTGCGCCTTAGGCCCGAGCTGGCCGTGTTCCGGCTGGGTGTGCAGAAGGCGCAGGAAGCCATCGAGAACACCATCGGAAGTGAGTCTTCTAGAGGACAACCTCTGTTGTTGTTTATTTTCGCTTTTCGATCCGGAATGTCAGCCCCTGTGCTTTTTTGGGGGGTTAGAGAGGATTTCGCATTTTTTGAGGCGTTTTGTGGGCACTTTTCCCAGATCCTCGCGGATTGGGTAAAGGTAAAAGATGTGTAAATTTAAAAATTTACCAGAGGCTTTGAAATGAGACGCCACACAATTCGAATATCATTTTTCGAAACCAGCGGTGTCGTGTGTGTGTGCGCGCGCCCTAAAGCTTACAGTTTACTTCTCATTGCTTCTTCTTCCCTAACCAGAACTTTCTTTCAGCGGGCATCGAGGAAAGTTGCAAAATAATGGAGGCAATGGAGCAAGCCAGATCTGGCCGGTCAGGTACTCTGTTCAGAAACACACGCATGATTTGACGAGGCACTTCATTCTAAAACAGCAGTTGCCTTTGCATCAACACACACGAAATATGACTACTAAAGTAGAAAAATAACTACGGATGACATTTTAAAAAGCAACACACAGCATGGTTTAAACGATTCTACATCAAACACTAAAGAATTTGAAAAACATCAAAGATTGCATTTTACTTAAACAAGGTATCAAACGGTATTACTTTCAAAGTTCGTCGCATGCCAGTTTTAAATACGAAATCTCGACAGACTTCATTCTTCAT